CCCGCAGTCAGGCGGGGCAGAGAAAGCCCACCGCGTCTGCAATCTGCAGTTCTCCAGGAGCTATAAACCCCTAGCGTCCCCGAGAGGGTTCCTGCAAGCCCGGCCGCTCGACGGGGGCGCGACCACAATGGCCTGTTCTTCCAGGTGGCCTGGACAACCCGCCTCGCCTTTGGGTCTGCTTCTAGACTTGCTCCCGGCTAGGTAGAGGAGAAGGGCCGCGTGGACGGCAAGTGCGACGGGGGCTTCGGAGCTACTTGGCAGCAGCTGGGTCCTTAGGCTCGGAGGCCTCCTGCCATCCATCCCGCGCGTTGCTCTGTCTGCCTCCCATCGCAACAAGCCTACAGTGCGGGAAGGCAGAGCAGAGCTCTGGCTGAAGGCCGGCGCGAGCCCTGTTGCGGGAGGTCCCCTGACCTCGTGCCCTGCCTGCCCCCTAGCCTCTCGGCGCACTCCGCCCTCCCCCAGCCACCTGGGGCGCACGTGGCGCTACCAGCTCGCCAGCTCCCCAGGCCCTTTGCTGGGAGCCGATAGATCGATGGGCCCTGCGGGCCTCGGCCTCCGGCCTCCGGGACTGAAGGCTGCAACCTTGTAGGCGGTTGGGGAGGATTTACAGTCTGAGTGGGTACAGCCTCTCAGACCACTAAGCAGCTTTTCAACTCCCCTTTCCGTAAAGAGAGGGTCATGAGGTTCAGAGAAGGCAGTAGAGAGGCCCCTGCTCTGCCGGTGCCCGCACCTAAAGACACCTCTCCTAGAATCAGAAATCAAATTCCAAGAACAAAAAATGTCTTGTTTTGCCTCACCTCTACCTAAAAACAGATTCATGTAAAATGAGAAAAGTAGTATAGGCCCTTGTAAACACATTCACAGGATAAGGATAGGAAGTGTCCAGTGAAAGTCTGCCCTCCACTCGGCCTGGCCTTCTGAGGTCGGTGGGTGAACACCGACCAATCTAATGATAGCCCCCTTCCCTTACTCAGTGATCTATAGACAGACATAGTCAAGATAGAAGAGGGAGCTTGATCTCTTATATTCATTCCCTGTGTGAAAATGGCATTTCAAAGCATCCTGCTTGGGGAATATGAAAATCTCTCACAAATACAGAATTAATAATTATAAACTTGTACAAAATGCCCTGATTTTAAAAGAAAGTGGAAACACTATTTGCTTCCTCCTTGTATTGTGTATTGCTTGGCATGGAACACTGGCCTGTTTGGGGATCTGGTCTGCTTCTCCATCAAGTCTTCACATAGGTGTTAGTGGTTTGCTGGCTAGAAGACACTCCACTAGAATGTTTGTCAACCTCTGACTATTTGTCAACCCTGAGAAATAAGTTACTTGTTTTAAACATTCTCAAGCTTGTTTGGATTCTAAGACATAAGTTAGAAGTAACTGTTTCCAGTTGGTGTACTAAAAATCAATGTTAGAGTATAAATGCATTTTGGTGGCAATAGGCCAACTTTTCTGGCAGAATATTTTGATATAGCATAAAGTGGTTCATATTAAGACTCATTGGTGGATTAATTAAAGTGAATTTGATTGTCTACTCTGTAGTGGACTTAAGGTAGCTTCTAGACATTGGGGGAAAGCCTCAGGTTTTCAGTACTCTGCAGAATTTAACTATGAAGTTTTTTTTTTAACATGTTGTAGAGAAAAATGAAACTTATTAAGTTGAAGAAGGCTTTAGAGGATTTCTTGGAAAAAGGACTTACTGTAGTTTTATTGTCATTCATTACAAATATTATTAGAAGAGTGCTTCTTGTCTGTGGGGGTTGTGACTGGAGTTTATTGCTCCTTATTTTATTTCCCATATAGTTGATGTGATGGTCCATGTGAGATGCTGGAGGGCGATAGAATCTCGGGGACAGGCTGTTAGGGGTGTGAATAGTAAATGTTTTTGCTTCTCACTCTTTTGCTTCACAGTCAACCAGAAAGGGAAAATCGGTTAAGCAATTCCCTGGGGCGATTTGTTATTTTCATGGGCAAATTGCCCTTGCTTATTGTCATTTGTGTTTTGCTATTTTTGCTTAGGTGCTGAAGCACCATCTCTGAAGCCAGACACTAAAAATTATGGACATTATCTTTTACTTTCCTATTCATTCTTGGACTTTAATTCCCCAACCCCAAGAGTGTGGGAAAGAGAGAAATCTCTATAATTCAATCATGCTAGAGCACTTTTTGTGGCCCCCAAATAGTTACGTCAGTGAAATATTTCAGTTCTATTGATTGAGTCATGAGTTTGGGTCTAAAATTCTCCTAGCTTTCATTAGTCTTCTTAAATCTTGGTTTGAAGCCTTTGGTGTCAGGCAGGCCCAACTGTGAATCATTTCTGTCACTTGGTAGCTTCCTGGTCCTTGGTCAAGTTACAGTGCTCCTGAGGCCTCATTTGCCTCACCTGTAAAACGGGAATCATGGTACTTAGAGAATGTGGAGGTAGCTTGGTTCAAGACAGATGCATGGCACATAGTAGGCACTCAGTAGTCTTGAGTATTTAATTGTCTGCTTTTCCAAGACACAATGTCTTGAGGTTTTTATTTACACAATCAAAAGCTCGTGAAAGTGAGTGAAGATTGTGTTTTTCTGAGGACCTGACGTATGGATAAGTGTTTGCATTCTCTCATCTAGGCCTTAGGGTTAAAAGTGGAGTCCTGACCAGTTTTAACATTAGCTTGTGCTGCTGGCAGAGGGCGCCTTTGTGTTGAGGGAGGCTCAGAGGAACCCGCAGAAACAGGTTGCAGGTTCTCACCTGAGAGGCCTAGCCACCTCTCCAAGTAGTCGCACTCCAAAGTTTTCCTGGCCTTTGGCTATCTTGGGAGGAATGGAGTAGCTGCTGCCTGAGGGTAAGGCACAGCTAGCTGGAACCGGCTGGGCTGTGATTCCCCGTTCCTTGGTGGAAAGTTCCTTGGTTTCCATGGTGGAAAGTTCCTCATGGACTCACTTTGTTTCTTGGGCGTTTCAGTACAGATGAGGTATACCCAGGGTAATTAATCCACCAGGCCTAACTCCGGCCAAAGCCAGGCGTAGGTGCCCCAGGACCCGAGGGGGTACCAGCCTTCCCGCACCGGCGCATCCGTTGCTTCCTGGCTCTCTCCTACCACCTCCACCAGTCTGTCTCACCAAGTGTCAGGCCCAGTGCCATAAGACCACCCCCCTCCCTACGCGAGAACGCCGAGGCTCCCGAGGGAGGCTGGGCCAGGGAGGCCAGGTCGCGCCGGCGGGCGCCGAGGCCGCCTTCTCCGGGCGGGCCCGCCGTGCGGGGCGCAGACTCGGCGGCTCCGCCAGGCCCATTAATAACCCCGAGTGCGCGGCGACTCGACAGCGCGGTCGCTGCAGGCCCTGCTTCCCGCGGCCGCCGGGTCTCTTCCCTCCCAGTTCCAGCCGAAGGACACTGAGTGGCCCGCCGGGAGGGCTGCGCTGGAGAAAGTCACAGAGGGACAGCTTCGGCAACAGTGTCACTGGCTTACAGCACTACCATCGCATTTATTCTCGGGATCGGCCGTCGGGGCAGGACTTGGGTCCGTCTCCGTTGTCAGTTACCCTGTTGCTTAAAATTGCTGTGATCTCGATCTCGGCCTTGGGGAAGAACTCGCGCACAGGCTCACCTACCCCGCCGCAACGCTCCCCACACCGTTAGTCCCCACGGGTCCCCGCCCGGCAGGAGTCCCTGGAGTGGCGCTGACGGGGCGGCCAGGGGCCGAGGTCCAGGCTCCAGCGGAGAACGGCTCAGGGCAGGGACTGGGATCCGGTTCCGCGGGGCGGCGGGCTGGGTCTGCCTTGCGCCTCTGGTGCTTGGGGGGCGATCGGGAAGCCGCTTCGGTGATTTTAAAGCATTTCCTCCAGATACCCAGGTGGCCAATGTAGAATGTGTCCGAGATACCACACTGGGCAAGAGACCGACTTCTCTGGGGTACAACTCAAAGCACACCCTGGAATGGCGGATAGGGAGGACCTGGGGAGCCTGCAAATGGCATGGCAGAGAGACCAGCAGGGCTGCCGTCTCAGCACCAGGCAGATTTGATTTGGGTGCTGCAAATTCCAAGGCAGTGGGCAGATTCGGCTCCCCAATCGCTAGTGGCCTCGGAGCACCTAGAGCGTCACCTCGCCCGCAGGTGGCTTACCCTGGCTGAGGATGGGCCCGCCCGAGTCTGGGTTAACGCTCTGCTTTCCCTCCCTCCCGCGTATCTCCGCAGGTTGCGACATGTGCGCGGACAACCGCAACGGCGAGTGCCCCATGCACGGGCCGCTGCACTCGCTGCGACGGCTGGTGGGCACCAGCAGCGCTGCGGCCGCGGCTCCTCCGCCCGAGCTGCCCGAGTGGCTGCGGGACCTGCCCCGGGAGGTGTGCCTGTGCACCAGCACCGTGCCCGGCCTGGCCTACGGCATCTGCGCGGCGCAGAGGATCCAACAGGGCACCTGGATCGGGCCCTTCCAGGGAGTGCTCTTGCCCCCGGAGAAGGTGCAGACGGGCGCGGTGAGGAACACGCAGCACCTCTGGGAGGTAAGCGGCCCCTGCTGAGCACCTTCCCGGGGACTGGGCCGGAACCGTGGCCCACACAGAGCCAGGACCCTGGCAGGTGACCACTGAAGGAGAGCCTCCTTTGGCCCCTGGAGGGTAGTGAAGAGTAGATTTCCCTGACCCTGTAAAGCCTTGGCCTGGTCTCTGTAGCAGCGGAGAAAGGAGAGTGGCAGAGCCAGGTCTGCCAAAATACCAACCAAGCCAGGAAGACAGGGCCTACTGGTTTGTGAAGACAGAGCCACCTTAATCTGCTTCTGTTCCTCTGGGGTGGATTACCCCTGGTCTCTGAGTCTGGAGAATAAGAGAGAAGAACTGAGGAGCTACAGTAGAGGAGGGTGGGTGTTAGATGGGAGCCAGGTGATCCTTCTGTCCCATTCCAAGCTCTCATGTGTTTCTGTACCTGGAGCAGAAGGAATCGCAGAGAGAAGGGCCAGTCAGACTAATTTTCTCAGATTAAAAACAACTTTGTAAATGCTGAATATGAAAGACCAAAACATGTTTTTACAACTTTTGGAGTGCTCAAGCACTTTCTAAATTTTATTGTGAATCAAAAAAATCACAATTTTGCTTCTTTTTCTGACAAAGTGAAATTACACACTTTTCGACAAAATAGAAATTCGAAATATGGGAAAACTCTGAGCACTTTAGTATAACCAAGATCCACTGCTATTACTTAAAAACAACCTATCAAAAGATGTTAACTTGAGATTTCTCCCAGAGCATCAAGGTTGGTTATTGAGGGCCACACCAGAAGAGAGACTCATGTCATTGGGTAATCCCTCCACCAATTTTGCGCTGTGGAGATTATATGTGAAATGTAAGGTGCTAGGATCCATAACCTTAAGTAATAGGTAAAATCTGACTGTGGCCAGGTGGAATAAGTAGTAATAGTCAGAAAGGAAAGCTTCTTGAACGGAAGGGGCCAGGTCCATGTGGAGACCTCAGGGCTGGGGAGTGTCATTTCTGCCACAGTTTGCCTGTGCCCCACACTCAGTGGCTGTCAACATGGTCATTTTCACCTCAGCTGCCCCATATTCACTACAGAAAACTTGTCACACTGAACACAACGCTAACTTTTGCTGAGCTCCCCTCTGGCCAGCTTTGTATTAGACGCTGAAGATACCGTTTTTGGGAAAAAACAGTCCTCTTGTGAAGGTTGGGACTGGGGCCTACATCTGCCATGCCTCCTTTGATGGGGGGGGGGCAAGCATGTGAACCCGCAGCAGCTCAAGGTGAGGACAGAGAGCCCCTGGACTGCCTTCCCTGCAGTTATGCGCTGGAGCCCTGGGGCCTGGCCCCTGGGTTCTGTTTCACTCTGAAACTGTCTGGGAGGGCAATTAAATGTTCATTCTTTCAGAATAGGATTCCTGAGTATGTGTGTGTATGTGGGGGGGGGCCCTCATATTTATGTTACCAAATGGAGTCTTTCTTTTTTAAAATTTTATTAGCATATAATAGTTGAGGAGGGGAAATATTGTGATATTTACATATGTGCTTACTATGTATCTTAGATTTACACCCTCTGTCATTCTCCCTCTACTCCCCTCCCCTTCTTGGAACAATTTCAACAGGTTTCCTGTTCTGTCTTCATATATGGATACAAAACACATTCGCCATATTTACCTTCATTCCCAAATGAAGTTTTTCTTAAAAAAACTTAATTTCTAAAGTGTGGTAGGAGAAAATAGCTTGGTTGGTGCACAGATACACGGATGGAGGCTAGGAGGTAGCACTTTTGTGTAGGAAGCTGACAGGTGGGACATGGCCAAAGCATCTGGTTTTGAAACGTTGCCTACTTGGTTTTTCTTTCTGACTAATTGGTTGTAACCTCCAATGTGGCTTAAAGCGTATGAAACACTTCTAGGCATGTCATGCTTCCCTAGCGTTGTTAGGAGCACTAACATCATATAGTAAGATCTGCCCATAACTTTTCTGGGGGCGTCCCGAGGCAGCTGTTCAATGGAACAGATTTGCTCTACCTAAAACTGAACACTGTGAAATTGCCCTCTGATGCCTGTCTGTTTTTAGGGTTCAAGGGACAGAGGCATAAATGTGAAAAAAAAAATCCCATAGTTCTTTCTTTTTTTTCGTAGAAGACTGGCTGATTGGGATGCTGGCAGGAGGTCACTGCACACATAGAATATAATAATAGAGACCAACCCTGAGAACTGAGGGACCTGCTTTGTACTTCTTTAAGTCCAAATTCTACTGTAAAAGACTGGGGAATTTGGTCTGATTGTTTTTTTCTTTTTCTTGATACTTCTGTGGCTGTGGAGTGAGTTTTGCCTATTGTTTTGGGGCATGTGAATTAAGGGTGTTGTTTCTGTGTCATAAAATGACTTGCTGGATGTATTCTTAGGTGATCAATACTCTTAAATTCAGGACATAATTAATCTATTTATTTTTATCATCTGTAACAATGGTTAGAATAATGTGTATTTGGGGGATTGAAGGGATATTGAAATTTCAGACCAAAATGTCTCCTGGGAGAGCATAAGAAATATGACTGGGGTCAGGTAACTTAGTGCCAATGTCTATTTGTAAGACAAAACACTTACTTTAGAAAATATGTTTCAGATTTTTATCAGTATAATTACTTTTGATATGACGTATGAGTTTATTTCTAATTTTAAGCATTATGATTTATGAAACATGACCATTTGGATTAAGTTACAGAAGATTCTAAATGTTGAATTGCTCCTTAAATTTTAGTCTGTCAAGCCTAAGTTCTATTGTGAAAAACTTGAATCATTACATTATTTATATTATAAGGGATCGGTAATTGGAATACACTATAAATCTATATAGGAAAGGCTTGGCAATAGCTGTTTAATGACTCGTGTAATAATTTTCCATTAAATATATTCTCTTAGATACCTTCCAGAATATCAAGGTGACATACAGCAGAATTTTTAAAAAGTTAAAAGTAGTTGAATCATGACTATTTTATTTTGAAAGTCAACTGTAATTGTTTCTCTTCCTTACATTCTTTCAAGTCATTTGCTGATGAAGAAATGTCTTTGTAGTTAGAGTTCAATACTCAGGTCCTGATAGATCTCACCACAGTTACTTATCTTTATTTCAGTGCAGTAAATGAATCACTAATCTCTTCCCATCACTGTTTCCAGTAGATGATGGATTTTTGCTTCAGTTTACAGTTCATTGTTTTTAGTCTCGTTGTACTTTATTATACACATGAAGGCTTCTAACAGAAACAAACGCATTCACCTTAGTTACTCCTTTTGTTTAATCATTGAAAGCTCTATTTTCTTTGTAGAATTACTTTTTGATATTTAATTTACGTGAGTATATTTGGTTAGTTTGTAGCATGCTATCATTTTTTAGTTAATATTTTCATGAGTTTAATCCTACTTATTCAAAATATAGCAATGGAAAATTAAGTATCATTCCACTACTTCAATATACTTTGAATCTTTTAGGCATTTATGGGAAATTCAAAGAGCATTTCTTTCCTCTTCGTCGTCGTCTTCCTCCTCGTGTCTTCTTCCTCCTCCTTTCTTAGCAATAATCTAAGGTAATTTTTTTTTTTCTAATTTAAGGAGAGCAGTAAGCTAAAAACCAAGTTAGTCAGTTTTTGGTCAATTTCTTTTAGAATCAGAATTTAATGTGTTTTTTAAAAGTGATAAATTCAGATACTTTAAAAATCAAAACATTGCAGGCTCCATTAGACAATTCCTTGGCTATATATATATTTATTCTAATAACACTTGGGCACATGATACATTTCTAACTATTTGGATGTATTGGGAAAAATCTTTCTGAATATTTTGCAAAGAAAACAGAATCTTTCTCAGCAATTAAGTCTTATTGATGGGAGTGAGATAATTTTACCCTGATGTGTTTTCTAATAAAGAAGTTTGATTCCAACAGTTATGAAAACATTATCTTGATTATTAATGTGCTCTTTTTTCCCCTGAGATAAATTAATCTAGTTGCACATGGTTTCCCCTTTCTGCTTAACATCAGAGTTTAATATGACTAGACCTGAGGAATGTACACAGTGTATACTTAAATTCTACTGGAATAAAATACGGAAGTTTAAAACAAAGTTATGATTTAAGATAGGCTAGAATTACACCTTTCAACTCAAAGTCTGATTTGACAAGAACTTTTAGTGACAATGACAAAATAAATTTCATTTGTACTATGTGGAAACCTTTAGTATTTTTCTTTAGAAAACCAAAGGGAATTAACATAATGTGAGCCTTTTTGTGATTTGATTTTTGTGGCAAAATAATTTAGATTTAATCAGGGTTTTGCTTTTAAACAAATGGCCTATTTTTCATCATTACCATTTAGCTTAGGTCAAAAGATACTAACGAAAACCAATATTAAAACTATATTACACATTGCTAAATGTTTATATTTCAAAACCATCATAGTTAATTGGCACTAGAAGGAAATGAATTGATTTCATGTTTTAAATGTGTTATGTATGTTTTTATAAATGACCCAATTCCACGTATATAGTACTGTACCTGTTTGTATATATTTAGATGTTGAAAAAGCCATTTTAAATTAATAATTTTAAATGGAATTAAAATCATTAAAAATTGTTCCAGTGATAGCATTGTAACTATATACTGTGTATTTTGCTTTAGACTTTGGCTCATTTTGGCCTGATTCATCAAGACACTAAGGAATAGAATATGTGGCTGTCACAGTTAAGATTGAAGTAAAAATTATGTTCCTCAGCAGTTTCTCATTTAATATACTAGTCTGTCTGACAGCTTGGTTTTGAATATGTCAATTTTGTGAAATTCAAATAACTTCTCTTTAAAAACCGACCCTAGTCGTGTTACTACTGTGTTTTAAATTATGCATCGAAGCAGCTGCTGTGTCCCCCTGGCGTGGCCACGTGTGGTCTGCAGATGTCTTCCACAGTGGTGCCCATTCGACAGAGCGCGGGCATTTTGTAGTCTTCCACACATTGTAAAGCCATCTGCCGCCTATTGGAACAG